ATGACGAATGTCAATTTAGTGCGATAATTTACTACCGCAGCAAAATGTGTGAAAATTATCGCATTTAATGCAATAACAAATTATTGCACTAAATTTGTAGTCATCATTGCATTAAGAATTACAGTGTTGTCTCTTACTACTAATCCTTAGGGTGTCACAGCGAATTTCTTAGCTGTCACAAAATTAGACAATGTTCTCGCTCTGACAACTAATCTTTTTTTTCCTGCTCTACCGACAGTGTAGCTCGTCCTCTGACGCTTGGGTTTGCACAGTGGTCCGAAAGTACCCCTTTTCAAGGAAAAACGCCCAGAATCCAACTTGTACGAGGGGGGTCGGACACCGCCTATTTTGACTCTTATATGTCTAAACTATTTAGCCATAAAAGGGTTTTTCCACTCGCCATGCCGTTTAGGCTCTAGCAGCTGTCAAAGACGGCGGTTTTATTTATCTTGGTTTTTGCACTTTTGGCGGTGCAATAATGTTTGACCCTACTAAACGTTTCGACAATGCCCCTGGATGGAACGCGTTTTGTTTTAGTGTCTTTGGACATCAGAGAACATATAGGAACCATCGATGCGTTCTGCCACCACTTCCTCGCCCGAGCAGTGCCTGGCTTATTTTACAATTTTGTAAGAAAGACTAAAACTTACAAGTTTTGAGATTCAAATCGCTCCGACCGATATCCGAAGGAGTTTGGGGTCGCTTAACCTTCGTCCATAGGTGCTTCAAGAGGGGGAATCATAAAAAGTTGCGGCAGGTTGCGGGAAGACCCTCATCTAGGTGAATATGTCTACCCCCTCGCCCTCTCCCCACGGCCCTACTGTTTGGGATGTGGTGGCAGAAGTACCCCATTACGAAGCTGCAATAAACTTCTTTTTATGCAAATGTGTCATTGAAACGAGATTTTAATCATATTTTGACCTAGTTTGCTGCACAGAGTTAAAAAGAAACTCAGAATCAGTGGAAAATAGCCATTTTCCTTAAAAGTCCAATTTGCACCAAAACGTGACACCTGACGCAAAAATCAACGAAGTAAAATCGCTTTATTTTCAAATTTTACGTGAGGAATCATTCGATTTTGTAAAGTTAAGGCAGTTTTGTAGTTTTTTCTTCAACTAAAAACGCCAAAAATTGAAATTTTTCGAAAAAAAATTCAGAACCCAAATCACTTTCTTTAAAAAACTTAAGTCCAGACACATGCCCAGTTACAAATGAAAATGTCTATTTGGGGAGTTTTTCCTCGAAAAAGAGTACTTTCGGACCACTGTGGTTTGGGAAGGGCCGATGACTGCCAGTTACGTAACTCCACCACCCCGGCGACGTGGCCGTATGCGCTCTCGCACAAGGAATGTCGAGAATGACGAAAGCAGTATGAGTAGGCAAGCAGAGCGGCAGCTGCTGCTCTGGTCGAGAAGGCGGGTTGTTCGGCTGCGTTTTAGTGGCGTACCAGCTGCCCCTGCGAGCGCAATCGATACGGGTTCAAAAACCCTGCCCGAACTTTTGTTCATCCCCCCCCTCCAGC